CCTGTCGCTCTCGTTGCGCCGCTCAACAGTTATCGGCGGAAGCTCTCGTGCTGCCTGTGGCAAAGTAACGTTGGCCTGTGGTGTGCTTCGGATATATGGATGCTAATGACTCTACCCTTTATAATGGGCGATAGTTTGCGCCACCTAGCAGATACCAAAAATATGATTCATCCCCTCGCCCTTCTAAGCCCCATTTTGCTCCCCCTCTACATTTTTGTAACTATATTCACCAACCACACTAGCCAGCGTGGAATATCGCCAGTAGCGATACCCCACACTAGCGAGAGTAGTATTCTCCGTTCAGCCCAAAGCTGATACTGCGATGGGAGCTACGCTCTCACCGGACCAATCAGCCGCTTCCCTTTCATCACCTGACCCTGCTCTCCGCGCGAGGATGTGGGGGAACAGAGTGATCAAGTGACGAAGGATGGACGTATGATTGGCCCAACGTCCTCGTAGCTTTCACCGCAATCTGGGCTCGGGGGTAAACGGAGTATGGTTCATACCCCACAGTTGCGAGAGTAGTGATGGTGCCAAGTGACCTGCCCTTTTAATGAATAGAATTCTCGCCGATTTCATTCGGCTCTCGCCGATTTCATTCGGCTTACCTCAACATGCGGTGCTGAACGCCACGCCTTCTCAGAGTTGACAATCCGGCACGACATTTCGTACGCCCCTCAAAATAATCTTTCATCGGTCGCACCGTGTAATGTATAAATTGTTATGTCACTGTGATAAGGCGACTGATTTTCGGTTTCTACGCTTCATCAGCGGGAATTCAAAACGTGCGTGTCACATTATTAGCTCGCGCCTGGCGTCGAATGTGCAGGGAGACTGAAGCAAATGGGTGCGAATTTTATTTACTGATAGGGGGGCGGCCACTTGGCACAGTCACTGCCCTCGAAGCCTGCCACAAGCTGCGCGAGAGCTGCCACTATAACGATTGCGACGAGGGCGGGTGGCTGTCGATCTGTTGTTCTCGTTTCCTGTGTTCGGGACTATACTTTCCGATACAATTATGCAGTTTTAAAATAGCGTAAAGTCGGGCTGTCGTAGTGGTATTGCTACGGTGAGCTCGCGCTGCATATGCTGCTCAGCGCGCGTGCGCGCAGGAAGCCGTATGCCGTGCCCACGCTAGCGTGCGGTAACTCTATGATAAAACTGCCTATTGTTTTATTGATACATTTCTTGCTCGATCAGGACCACGGGAACGCGGCGATTGTACTCTTTTGAAACACTATAAACTTTTAGCAAGCCGTTATCGTGTTCCTCGTACCGCGCTACCGGAGCTTTTAAAGCATGCTTTTAAGCGCATGCCCCGTAGTCACGGTATGACCCGGGTTTGCGCTTGTAAGCACGCGTCAGAGGCTCCGGTAGTGCGGTGCACGGAATACGGTAACGGTTCACTAAAAGTCTCTGTTGTTACGGTTCATAGGCTCAGGGAATCTTGAGGACATCGGCAAAGGCAACAATACACACAAACACTTCATTTGCGACCCGAAAGCAAAGAAGGAAATGCCTTCTACCGCCCACTGGAAGATAATCCTGACCAAGAACGTCAAGGCAGGTTAGAACATGCTGGTAATGTTACAATAAAAAAAGTAAAGTAAGAGAAAAAAAAAAAGAAGCGAAATTTTTTTTTTTTTTTTTTTGGGGGGGGGGGGGGGCGGTTTTGGCTCGTCCTTTTTGCTGCTTGCCTCGTAAATATGGACACATCCGTCCCCCACCCACAATCGTCCATAATAGGGTTTTAGTAGATCGTTCCGATATTTACTACAACGGTTCCGGATAACCGGCACAATGCACACTCGTTGGGAAAGTATCGGGTATGGTTATCAGAGTCATCGAAAGGATCTACTCAAACTCCAGTCGTTCATAATATCGAAGACAGAAATGCAATTATTTTAACCGGCTTGTCCTCGAAAAAAAGGATGTACATTTTTACATGTGGCAGAGTATTCATAGCAGAGAGTTTTAGTAGATTGTTCCGATGACGATACCAGATACTCCGCCACCGCCTTTGCGCATGCATCGTGTCGGGGGTATCGGCGGTATCGGAACGATCTACTAAAACTCTTTATTAACGGGGTTCACCTTAACGAGATACGGCAGCATTGCCGCGGAGCTCGTTCACACTCACCGATGGACGGCAAGCCCTCGCCGATGGGGACGAGCTGGTCCCAGCTCTGCTGACTTGCCATGGAGCTTGAGACTGTCTTGCGTGGTCATCTGGCGCTACCCCTCCATTGCCCGCCCCCCAACCAAACCGGATGTCAGCTGACCCGTTCTCGAGCGGATGTGGCGTTCGTGGCTTTTGACGCCGACTCTTATCTTTAGTGCCGATGTAGCGGACGATGTTTTTGGCGTCGTCACTCTGGGCGAGTTTGTTATTTTTTTTATCCAAGAGCGTAGATAATATTTCGAAAAATAGGGCGAGTTGTAGCGCGTGTGTCATAGTCTCTGATAAACGATCCGTGCTGAAACCAGTAATCTAGTGGAGTTAAAAAATAAAAGACGCTCTCTTTACGCCTCATACAAGTAGCTGGTATGATGCGTATGAGGCCTCAGACATGTGGTGCTTGTTCGTACGTGTTAGCTGGCACTTCCTTAGAAAGACGTTTACAGTATGGAGAAACAACGTACCCCGCACCAGGCTAGAAAATGAGATCACAGAGAGCAATTTTTTGATAGTGCTAATCAAAGCAATTGTTTTGAAAAAAACAAAAAAAAAACAACGTTGCTTTTAGTTCTAAAATCTGCACAACTCTGCACAACCAAACTCACTCTCTGAACTAAGTAAGAAAATGCCGCGCTGGCTTTATTGACGGAGAGACGCCAAATACTTTCAGCAACGTCGATACGACTCAGAGTGCTTGATAGTAGCGAAACGTCGCTCAGATGCGTGCTCCTTGGGTTGTGGGCCCTTAAAGGGATACTTCAAAGAAATTTGAAATATTCCCGTCGTGTTCAAAAATAGGTTGAATATGATCCACAATATCCGTAAATGACAATCGCGCGTTTGTATTTTGAGCCTGGTGGCTGTATTTTTCGTAATAAACGGCCCACTCTGGCAAGCGCTCGGAGAAGGCCCAGCGGAGACCACGTGACATCCAACGCAGTCGTGACGTAGGTCGTCTCAAGACGAGCAAAGCTACGGCGAGGCTGATGTCGAGAGGATGGCCTAGTCGTTCCAGCCACCGAAGCGGCTGCTTTTGTACGAATTTTGAGTGACGGGTTAATCTTCTGTAATCTTCTAGGGGGACAATAGCGACTTCTGTGACACACAAAAGTCATTCTCGTGAAGAGGGGAGTTCCTCCTGCCCCTCTTCTCTCGTCGTGGCCGGAGACGAGACAACCTCCGTCACTAGCTGTCAAGGTTCCTAGACGGGCATTACAAGCGAGGCGTTAGCGACATCCACCAGGTGCTCTTTGCTAATTATTTAATTCGTTTTAAAATTCCTTCTCGTGACTTTTTAACAAGATATTGGTATGTTCAATGTGATGCTGCTTTTTTGAACACATACAAACCAAAAAATGAGCCCCGAAATTTCGTTGTAGTATCCCTTTAATAGGTAGCGTTTAAACTTTTCCTAGAATAACCGGCTTTGTGGTAAAAAGCTATTGGTTGATTTTTTTTTTCGCGACACGTTTGTTGATTGGTGCTTTAAAATACCTTTTTAACGGTACAATCTTCAAAGGGGGAAAAAAATACCCGTGAAACACCATGCAGATGTCAGTCCTCGTTCAAATACTTTGTATTCGCTTCGTTCTCCAATGTTAGAGAGTGATATTTTTCGACATTGCGAATATCACCATAGTTGAAACGGTCGCCCTGCTCGTATGGCGAACAAGACACGGCGTTCGCCGCGGGCATTATGACAAAAATATCTACGTTCACGCATGTTTAATTAATGTTTGCTTCATACATTCGTATGCTTCGAACATGTGCGCCGACAGTTCTTGTATGATTGATGTGACGGAACAATTATAAAGTTAAGAAACAGGCCTCAAACAATAGAGAGTTTTAGGGAACCGTTTTTGCGCATTCAATACGGTACGATGGGCCGTCCTGTGCAAACTGCGCATGCGCTACCGCGAAAGACTCGCATATGTGCAGTTCGTAGCGAAGGCCGCATCGTACCGTATCGGATGTGCAGACAAGGTTCCCTAAAACTCTCTGCTGTCTCAAGACTGTATTTGGTATCATACTTATAAAACCCCGAGACATGAAAGAAAAACGAGAAACAAGAACAAGAAAAATAGACAACACAACGAGGTTTTTTGAATGATGTATTAGCAGGGTTACCACGGCTGTAGCACCGACACAAGTCAAATTTCTTCTACGATTGCCTAAAAAAAAAAAAATTGGGGGGTTTTACGTGCCAAACCTACGACGGGCATCTGGCACGCCCCAGCGGAGGACTGGGGATTAATTTCGACCAGCTGGGGATCTTTTGACGTGCAACCGAAAGCTCGGCTACACGGCGCCTTCTCCGCAATAAGCCTCCGTCATATTGCGGGCATCTCGGTCGGGATTCGAACCCGCCACCTGGGGATCTACGATTGCCTAGACAGCGGAGAGTTAGTATACCTTTTTTGAAGTGGCGTCGTGTGTCTCCAGTGTAGAGCAGCAACTCTTTTGGTGCTGTAGGACTAGAAACTTTCTTCGCTTCCTCACTTCCTCTTGTAACATGATCTCTTCCTCTTTCATCCTTCCACTTGCGAGAGTTTTATTCCATTCCCTACAAGCGGCGACAGCAAAAAGTCACGTTCTCCTCTGTGCCTTGCAGACGATTGACCTTGAAGGTTGGCCGTGATAGCATCCTTCACAGTAATGGTCTACTCCACAAACCAACGCCACGACACACACACAAAAACAAAAACAAAAAAATAACACGATCCCGCAGATCTTGGGCAGTTTTCACTTTCAGGCATTTGAAGGCACCATGCTTTTTGTACAGTGTTCGTTTGGCTCTTGACGACGTGTCTCGTGTCCGCAGGCGATCATCATCAAGCTCCTCCAGAAGACGGTGTCCCTGGCATCCAACCTCAAGGTTGAAGCGCCGCAACAACTGCTCGACTTTTGCATGTACGCCGTCGGAACCATGGGCGGCATCGTGTCGGTGAGCAATTGCCCTTCGAACCAAGAAGATACTCGTGCTATAACAGTCCCACGTTGAGACTCATATCTTGATGAAAGAACAAAGTTGCTTTGGATGCATGGAAGTTTTGCTTTCACTCCGTAGGAAAGGTATGTCAGATGAAAAAGTAAACCTTTGATTAATTCATACAAATCAAGTTCTCGAGTAAACATCTAATACTCCTGTCAGACGGGCTAATTTAGTGCACTTCAACCGCGCGTGCCCTTCAGCTCACCGAATGTCACTTCAAGTGTTTCGGTACCTCACAGAATAAATTAGTGTCACTCGGAAATGATGGGAATAACGAGGTGTAAAATGAAATTAAACACGTAAAATGTTAAAGTAAAAGCGTACATTTCTTTTCTTAGCAGTATTTCGTATCTTTAATAAAAAAGTACGTTACAACACAATATTACGTTAATTGACGATATTTGCGCCAATTGAATCAGTCTGATCGATCATCACAAGCCAAGATAAACACGAAGCAGATCCAACCTTGGCGTTCCGCTTGGTCCCACGGAGGCCTGCAAGGTGGCCCTGACCCTTCCTTTTTAGACCATGATTATTGTGTTGTCTCATAAACCTGCAAGCTGAACCCCCCCCCCCCCTTCCCCCCCCCCCCTCCCCCCCCAGAAGTAGACTATACCTTTCTCTAAAAACAAAGATAGCTTTGGAAGGGCTGACTATGTCGTCGCCTTTTATCGATTCGCCGCGGCGCTAATCTTAAAGCTACGTACACCCTACTATTTTTTTTTTTGCAATAACATTTCTTACTTTTTTTTTACGAATTTCTAATTCTTTAAAAAATAGACGCCAAGTTTTTTGCGTTGTTTGTGTGTTGTTACGTTTTACTCTTGAAACATTGATTTCGACGCTACGCACTCGATCGAGCGAAGTGAGTTCGTCAAACTCCCTTGAAGTCGAGTATGTTCTTCGGGAGGAAGCATTGTGGCACACATACAATATATGGCACTAAAGTCGAGGTTCACTCGGTTGAAGTGCGCTGAATTAGCCTGTCTGACAGGGGTACAAAAGCCGGTTCACGCTTTGCGTTTGAGTTAGATGGACTGCGCTGCAGCCGCCTGTGACTGCTGAGCACGAGAGTAGAATGCAGCTAAGCTATTTGGCAGTCGTTGTACATGACGATGAAAAACAACGCAGAAGACAGGGCAAAAGAGGGACATACACGACAGGACAAGCGTTTGTCCTGTCGTGTGTGTATGTTCCTCTTTTGTCCTTATTTTTGCGTTGCTTTTGATTTCCATCTACAGACGTGATGCGCCCGTTTCAAGTCCCTCCGCAGTTGAAAGAATAGTTCACTGGAAACGCCCCTTGTTCCGTTTCAATGGATAGATATTGGCTACAGAGAGATGCCCAACTTGTCTCCGATCCCCACTTTTAAAAAAACGACCTTTGTATTCATCGGAGGGGGAACTGAGCCCCTGAAAGTAGGCTTTGTATTCATCGGAGGGGGAACCTAACCCCCGAAAGCAGTATTTGTTTCCATCGGAGGGGGAAAACTGTAACCTCCCTCTCGTGGCTCCACAACCCTAAGTCAGAGTCGAAAGATAAGGCAAATATTTACAGGAAGGCAAGACCCCCCTCCCGCGTTGACCGCGACGTCACGGAAACGATGGGACGCTACTGGATACGGAGGTGACGGAGGGATCTGTGAATCCCTTTGAGGAGCATTGGCCGCTACCTCCTTGACCTGTAACGGTTCTGGGCGAGAGAACACACTGACGCCGTCTGTCGGGAGGTCCTGAAACACTTGCTATACACGTTTGCAAGTCCGGTCTCAGGGCGCCGCCATCTTCCTCAGTGGGGTGCGCTCTCGGGAGCGGCCATAATCCGATTACGACGCCTTAGCAAGGCTTCGTAATCGGATTATGACTGGTCCAAGCGCACCCCAGACAGGCAAGATGGCAGCGCCCTGAAGCCGGACTTGCAAACGTGTATACTTGAGTACATTTTACGTGTCATTCTTTCACCGTGTGCTTTAAGTGATTCTGATCACGCTATAAGCAACCACAGCTCATAAACAGTGCGTAGATTTGAAAAGAGTTCCAGGGGTGTCTGATAGATGGCGGCAGTGTGCCTGTGTGTTCGCTTTGGCTAGGTGGCGCCAGGCGCCGCCCGATTTAAAGGGACACTGACACCCCCCAAAATTTTTTTTTAATATTTTGCCAGGCGCTTCATTATGGTGTCGGAGGACTACCCAATTAATATTTTGCAACAGAGTAGCGTATTTTTTTAATAAAGCCAAAAGACGCAACTGCTCGAAACCGAAACCGAAACCCGACGGAGGTCGGAGAAGTGGAGAGAAGAGAGCGAGTGGCGGAAGTCACGTGGCTACACCCGACCGTGGTTTTTTTTCTTTTTTTTTTTTCTCCTTTCCGTAGCAGACGACATGCGGCGTATGGGAACTGTTCGCCGTGGGATTCTTTTGCAGTTATGTATGTTCCGCTCGTTGTTCTGTACTCCAAGATGAGTTGTTTTGTACATTGAGGAGTTGGAGATGAGTAGTGAGTGCCCGTGGTGAATTTTGATCGGCTTCGAAAAGAATACACCCAAGATGTTGCGTGAAGAGCTGGCTCACATGTCCTGCGTCCGAAACAGAAGTGGCATTGTGCGATAGAGTTTCCAAAAGATTAACGGGATCGGGACCAATGGCTGGCTGCAATTCCTGTAGACCATTTACGGGCACCTCGGAAAGCGGGCGCTACCTGATTTATATGCTCCTTGCATTTTGTGGAAAGTGATTACATTGAGTTCGCAGGTGTCAAAAAAGGAAATCCCATACCATTTAATTCAGCGACGTGTCGTCCACAACATTTGTTTCTTGTTCTTTTTTTCAGTGATAATTGTAAAAAAAAAAAAAAGAAATGTAAACATAAAAAAACATATGAAAAAAAAAAAAAAAAGTTTCACGGGGGTTCGAACCCGGTCCTGCGGCGTGTGAAACGGACGTCTTTCCCTCTAAGCTACTGGGGCATATCGAAACTAGGGAATCTCTTTCCTTAGTAATAATTCAGCCGATAAACTGTAAGTTGGAAAGTTTGCTGCTGATTTTCCTCTAACAAAAGCACTCCCGGGTCGAAGTCGGAATGCACCACGCATTGGCGACATTCTCGCCTTGTAAAGAAATCGTACGCGTGCATATTCAACTCGAAGTAGACACGTCGTGCTTGACGTTTGCGCGAGCGATGTCTTCAGCCACGAGAAGAGAACGACGGCTCGGCGACGTCTTCGTGCCAACGGCTTGGTGGTCGGGCGTGTCGTACGGAATGAATACCAATTCTTCTGATCAGTCCCAAATTTCTCTTTTAGAGGTAGACAGAATTCGCCAGTACCACGAACGACAGTTCTGAAATAGAGGTCCCACGCCCGTCGTCCGCTGCCATCGCCGTCCCTGCGAGACCCACGATACGCGAAACGACGCACGCACAGAATGCTTCCGGTTGTCTGTGAAACTTTTTTTTTCAATCAACGTATTTGCAACTTTTTAGAAGCCACAGAAAATGGGTTTCATATTTTTTTCTATTTTTAATACTGAGTGTGTGCCTTCAGTGACCCACGACTTTGATTAAATTTGGTGGTCGCATCGATACCTTAGAAAACGGCCCGTGACCGCGGGAAAGAGAGTGAGCGAGACTCGAACCGGCCAGTTCTTGATCGGCGGTTTTCGGGCGAAAGAAACCGAATTTCGAGCCGCAAATTCTGTTCTGCGTAGTTGAGCTCTCATATGTCACGTACAACTAAAAACCTCGGCAAGCATAAATACGCTGTCAGTGTCCCTTTAAAGAGTTCAGCCATATTCTCGTCGTAAGCGGGCACGAGCGTTTGCAATGTTTTTAACAGCAAATATGTGACTAATTGGTTCTTCTCATGTGTCACAGTCTAGGTCAAGTTTGTTTCGTTGATTTTGAGAGTGTGAAGTTACTCTGCGCCACTGTTAACCTATGATTTGTTTTACCTGACGCACTCAACGCCATGAGCTGATGGAACCAATCACATAGCGACAAAAGCGCACCATCATGGTGGTCGTTATGTTTCTGTACGTGTTCTGTGATCGCTGAACCAATCATAAACAGCAAAGGCCTTGGGACTTGCTCTTTTGGAGTCGCTTGATTGGTCCCGTTTCCTTGTAGTGTCGGCTGCGTCTGTATTTCAGCCGAAAACGAACTATCGACATTTTGATCTCCATCTCTCAGTAATATCTTCACAAGGGCACTTCGCCACAATGCCTGTTCCTGTCGAAATTGGACGGAGTGTGATATATTAACTCATGATAGATATAAGCATATAGTCTGGGGTACTGTTCAACGTGCTACTGGGCTCCGCAGCGTTGTATAGGCAAAGAGGGGAGCAACATTTGCAAGCGCACGTTTCGTTTTCGTTGCTCTCAACCTTTTCATAAGATACGACAGACCCGGCACACCACGCATGATCGTGGTATAAGTTCCATGATAAATTCACATCAACCAACAACGGTAGAGTAAAACACACCCGAGGTTGCTTTTTAACATAGAATATATTTTAAAACGATATCAAAAGTTTTCAGACCCCCGAAAGATTGGAACATCTTGAAAGTGTGAGCCAAGTGGTTTGCCTTAAGTTCCTATATAAGAGCTTCTTACAAGTAAAGTCCCTAGATAAGAGTTGTTGTTGAGTGTTATTGTTACACACGGGAAGAGTGGATGCCTGCACGTAATGTTAGCCTCCTTGGGCAGGGGCAAGACTCGCACAGGCGGGGAAAGAGGGTGAGAAAAGAAAAGAGGGATTGGGGGTGATTTGGTCACCAATCTCTGGATGAGTAGGGTCGAATCAGGAGGCTATTTTCTTGAGGAAGAGGGACACTGCAGAACTGTCTTCTGGTATAGAGATCGCAAATTAGTCGATGACGGTTGAGACGAGAAGGCTTGACGGGTCTAGGTGGCGGGCCGGTAAGCTAGAGGCGCGTTGCAAGTCCAGTGGCTTGGAGGTACTCAAGAAGAGATTTATAAGCACATTCCCTTCTTCGTCGACCTCCGGTAGGAAAAAGGATTTCGTTCTTTTGAGTAGTCACAGTTGTGCTGGCGCTTAGGATGGCGGTAAAAAAGGACCGTCGAGCTTGATCGTAGTGAGAACAATTTAGGAGGACGTTGTCGAGGTCCTTTGGGACATTGCATCTGGCACAGTAGGGAGTACTTGACCTGGAGATCTTGTGAAGCGCCGTTGATGTGTAGGCACAGTTTGCAGGAAGGAGATGAAGTAGCGTGGAAATCTGATCTTGTTAGTTTTAACTCAGGGAGCGATGGAGGAGGATTCCCGCTTGCAACTTTTGTATGGGGGTGACGCATTCTGGTAATTAATTGGCACAGTCTGCGCGCTTCGCAATAACGTGGGATGAAAAGACTGGGTTAACCTTCCTTGTGTGCCTTTGAAGCAAGGACATCGGCGCGTTCGTTGTCGGGGATACCCATATGTGACAAATCTTCGAAGTGCCGTGGAAGAACTTGTAGTTGGGCTAGTTGGTGAACGTTGGAAATCATGGTGTAAGGCGCAAAAAACAACGGACACAAGAGACGCCTGTATGTTTGATTTCTCTCTTGTGTCCGTTGTTGTTTTGCACCTTACACCATGATTTGAAGCGCCGACTGCGTGACGGTGGAGGTTTTAGAAAGCGAATGGCGGCGCACAGCAGAGGTTTGAACTGAATGCCGCCATTTTATTCCAACGGAATGTGCTTTGTAATTTGTAATGGTTGTCGTTATTTGTAAAAGAAGTATCAAGGAATTTTACTTACAAGTAGCGACAATCTTTGAAGCGCCGACTGCGTGACGGTGCAGATTTGAGGAAGCGAATGGCGGCGCACAGCAGAAGGCTGAACTGAATGACACCATTTTGTTTCAGTGGAATGTGCTTCGTCGTTTGTATTGGTTGTCGCTACTTGTAAAAAGAAGTATCAAGGGACTTTAGGTTTGCCGACTAAGCTATTTTACGCGCTGTTGCACACCTCGAGACCTTTCCTGTCATGCTGCGCCATATCACGGTTTCTGTCAGAATGACAGAAACCGTTTGTATGTTCTTCCCTTTTTCCCTAGAAGACCTATCACGCATTCTCAGTGTTTGCATGATCAATCTTGTATAATTCTATTGTTTACTTTTTGTGTCTCGCATTTTTGTGCAGCGCATGACAAAGCAACTCATCGAAGGCGTCGTTATGCCCACGGACAGAGCGAAGGCGGTCAACATCGAGTACGACACCGAGATCGCCTTGGAAGGAGAGCCGGAGAAAGGTGAGATCCTCGTATAGAATCAATATCTTGCGTCTCGTCTCAAAAACCAGCCGTAAAACTAGGCGTATGCATGCCCGTCCCGGGCTCAAATTTACTTCTAAGGCGCGACCTGTCAGGGCAAACTCCATTCATTGCACGGGTTACTCAGCCACGGGGAACATTGCTAATTGGGAATAACATATAATATGTTGAGACCTAAAGAAATAAGAAAAATGTTGTGTCTCTGGTCTGCTCCCGCGTTAGCATTGCAGACTTAAATCCGATTATAAAATAAATAAAAAGGGCTGAGCGCCAAAAGAAAAAAAATAAATAAATAGCGAAACCGCAGTTCAGGGAGCGGGCCCGGTCAGCGGATTTCATTTCCCCTCCCCTTTTTTCCCCTTTTCTTTTTTCCGTTTAATCCCTCTCCCTCTTGGTTTTGTACTTGACGTACAATTTTCTTCGAGGTTGATTTTCATTCTTCGTCCTTTGGTGATGATTCTTGGGTCTTGGGTTCTTGATTGTGGTGGGAGGGTTGGTGCTTGATTTGAGATGGTGTTTTCTCTCTTGTAACTTCTGTAATGAGCTCATGGAATGATTATTTCCCCCCCATCGTCCCCTGTCGTGCCTGTGCCTCATTTTTGTTTCCTAGTGGGTTATTGTTGTATGCTTGTTGGTTTGTTTTTAGGTTAATCCGAGAGTGGTGTCCCAGTGGGGTTATTGTTGGATGTTTGTTGGTTTGTTTTTGGGTTGTTCCGAGAATGGTTGGTTTTTAAGGGAATCCCCTCCCTCTTCCCCTGTCCCACATGCTCCTCCGCCTCCTTCCCATTTTGTTCTCTCGAATGGATTAGAGGTGGCTCCCAGTTTCCCTTAATTGGGGTGGTGCAATGGACCGAGGAGGTCTATAGGAAAATCAAGAAGTAAGAGTTTTTTTGTTTTTTTTTTGGATATCGATTTCTTAATGCCCTGAGATATTCGACATAGTGATTTAAAATGTTTTTCCTTTTCCTTCTCTTTTTTTAAAGATTTTTTTCCCTCCATCTTGTGCCGGCCGCCCTCCTCCCCTCAATCCCCCCCCCCCCCCCCCTAACCCTTAACCCCTTCCCCTTGACGGTCATTTTTGGTTCATCGCCCCTCCCTGCGGTCGCAAGTCCTGCGGATCAGAGTTTCTAAAGCTAGAATTGATTTTTTTTAACGCACACCGAAAGTTAGCTTATTCCTTATTTTCCCTTTATATCCTTTTGATTTTAGGTGGGTTATCTCTCGGGATATTGCGGTAGTCTGCCAGCGAGCAGTGCCTGCTGTATTCTTGTCGCGTGTGACGGGACCGAGGAATAAGTGAAAAGCAGAAAATACAACACCCATGAATGATGTTGTTCACGCCTGTTGTCTTGTGTGCTTGGTTTTTGGCCAGATTTCCCTTGTCAAGTTCCGTGTAAAACCGTAGGTGTCCTTCGCTTACTTTGAAAAGAATTGACGCTAGCTGTGTACATTGCAGAAAACCTGTTCGACGGAACTGTCCCAATGGAAGTGGCTCTTGCCAGAGCGGTAGTCTTGGAGGAAAAAATGAAGGTACGCTCATTCTTCTCCGTTTTGAACTTTTTGAGGTAGAGAGAAATCAATCCATCGACCATTTTCGTGATAAGCAAGGCCAATATCTCGCATAACTCCCGGCAGCTGATAAACCGAAACACTGACCCGATTTACTAGATGACTTTGTGATATATGCTAGGGAGTTTTTTTCTAGCGCAATGAAATGAAGAGTTGTAAGGTGTAACCGAGACTGATTTCTTAGGAGAAATTGCCACGCTGAACAAGTAGAAAAAAAAAAAGAAAACAGTGGGTCGCTGTGGTCAATTTCTGTGTAGAATCTGTGGCGTCACAATTGGGGCGACGCGTTTTCAAACGTTAGCTTTTTGGATAAGCGGACATAAAATACGTGTTAATTTAATTTAGTAGAAGCGTGTTAAATAAACAGACTGTCCTCTTGGAAGACGTTCAGTGCTTTTCTGTACGATGTCATAAAGTAAGTGCCTGTGTGTAAACAGACACAAAAGGCGGCATCACGATTGTTTTCTTGTAGCCCGTCCAGATCAAAAGTCTTATGAAGCAGTCAGCTGTTTGCAATAAACTTACTTTATAGCATTATATATTCGTTTTATTCACACTAAAAGCGTATTGAAAATGGGAAGCAGTTAACCCGTAAGAATAATCCTGGCTTGTTATTTTGTAAAACAGGGCATCTCGCATTACCTGGAAAAAAAAAAAAAAGCGCCGCAGTTACGTCAGTTATTCGATCCAAAAAAAAGCGGCGGCTGATTTCTGTTGAGGCACTAGAGAACGGAAACGAATCGCTCGGTGTTTTGACTTCCGTGTCTTCTTTCGGCAGGCTGAGAAGCAGATCACGACCATGGTCCAGCTCACTGTCGACCTGGTTCTGGCCATTCTGAGGAACATCATCGTGGGAGAAAAACCGCTAGAGTTCCGGGCGCCCAGCGGCCTGGGACTAACCATTTCCATGTTAGTGTCTGCTTTCACTGCGGAGAGTAAACTGTTACTTTTTACGCAACCTGAGAGTGAGCAGAGAGAGCTGATTACAAAAACAGTTTAAAGGTCAGTCCTCACATGCAGCGAAGCGCTGATGTAGCGCTGCTCATGTGTCGTCAGCTACTTATCGTCTGCCATGAGCAACAGTTTTGACGGTGCGATACAAAGCTGGTGAACGCTCACATGAGCAACTTGAGAAAGTGACTGATAGATAATGACTTCATGCGAATTCAAGCGTTTTGGACGCCCAGAAACTGCTCCAGTTCTCTCCCCCTCTTTCAGTGTCAGTGCAAAGGTCAAAAAACACCTCCGGTTGTATTCTTTATTTTTTTATTATTATTCTGAGTGGAAGGAAAGGGGATGGCGTTGTTCACAGCAAAACGATGACCTACAGATCCTTAATTAGCGGTTGGAATTTCGACAGAGGTGCCCGCAATCTGCCGGAGGTATATTGCAGAGAACACGCCGTGTAACCGTGAGATTTTGCTTGCACGCCGAGAGATCCCCTGGTGTTTTTTTTTTAAATAAATCCCCAGTGGTTCGATGGACGTGCCAATTGCCCTTCTTCGGTTTTGCGCGTAAAAAAACACCCAAATTTGAATGGATCTTATTTACCTGCGTGGACAAAACATATCAAAGCCATCTTGCGGATGTTTCTAAAAAGCAGCGATCTGTCACAATTACAGCTTGAGCACTGGGAAAGAGATCATTTAGCTAAATTACATGGTTACTGGAGACCGAAAGTAATGGGACGATCTATTACTTTGATTACTAAAACAGGGGCTCCAATCTGGACACTTGGCGAAAATCCGTCTAGGAATCCGGTGGCCGTGTTTGGCCGGGGCCGAGCTCGACGCCGACGCTGTTCAATCACGGCAGTCGAATTCCTCGCCAAAGTTTCGCCTGGTGGAAAGATAGGAGCCCTAAGTCAGCGACTCGTATGCGCCTCTGGAACCAATTAAAGATATCAACTAACGGGAGCTTTGTCATTCATGAGTTTCTTTATTGTGTCTTCGCATTTTACAGAGTGGGAGGAAAAGTACGAAACGTTGAACGTTTACCTCGACCCCAATTCCCGAAAATGGCAATTTATATTGTGCTGATGACTCGAAACCGTAAACAAAGCTTTCTCATGTGATTTCAATGTTGAAACATAACGAAATAATGACAAAATCAATACAAAAAAAAAATTTGTTTATTACTACGACGTCTACCATAGCAGAGAGGGTAAAAATAGAAAAAAATGCCCTCCCCCTCTCGCCCGCTTGTCGTCTGCTTCGCCGAGTGGGCAGTACCTAGCATCCGGCTGGCGTACAAACTCTGTTTAAAATCGCGTCATTTTGACAATTTCAAGCGCAGATGCGCAGATTTTGGTATGCCAGGTATCGTGTATTACTATGCTAGATAAAAAAGACTAACAGAGTCCGATTGCGCTGTTATCTGCGTGCAAATAAAAAAAAAATAGGGAAAACTGTGTCAGACGGGCCGGTCTCTCCGGCGAAAAGTGAATCCGGTGGCTGTACCTTTTTTTACTATACAAAGTTCGTACTGGTGTAGCCCTTTAGCGACCATGAGTGGATGTCTGAAATAATAAATAAAAACGTGCTCTCCTGCCGCAATACACGCAGTAGTTGAGGGTAGTACTGCCGGCTGACTCAACTGCTATTTAAGTAACGAAAAAAAGATATTTCAGTTGATCATTTACCAAAGTAGAACAACAGAGAGCTCTAGGCTGATTTTGGAGTAGCCACAACTATTCTAAGAACGCGAACCAGTTCACAACGGCAGCCACGAGCGAGAGTTCGATGTTCCGTACAGCCCGCCGATACAGCCCAAAGATGGAGAATGGCAACCTACCGTTTTGTCGTCTGCTAGCGGAGTCGGGAGACTCCGCTAGCAGACGACAAAACCCTCTCTCTCGTTTTACCCCGCCGAACCCGCTGAATTTCCCGGATGTATGGAGAGGGCGCTGCTGTCGAACAAAATAATGCCGCCCAGAGAGCGCTAAATGGTATGGTCTATACTCACAAAGCCTGGCAGTTTGACGACGGAGCCATAGAGTGCCCGGTCGCAGATTTGGAGCGCGAGGATTTAGTAGCACAGAGCATTGCAGTCAGCGCAGAGCTTTTGCAACGGCGAGGATGCGCGAGGAACGCGAGGAGCACTACCGGACATTCCATCTCTCGGGAGAAGTGTGTTTTGGCATCTCGCCGCAGTGGGGCGCCCGTTACATGATTCTCCTCTCATCCGTTGTTCTGCCGCTCTACCTTTTCACTTTCGGTGGCCGCGTCTCATGGCGATCTGCCAGGCTTTGTCAGTATAGAAGAGGTTATGCTACTACATAAGCAGCTCAAAGTAGGCAGATTGATTGTGTGCCCATGCGGAGTCCAGATGCAACATACCTGGATAAACTCCCGGGACATCAGTCCGATCTCCTGTGCCCGTTGTGCAGTAATCTTTGCACTTGTGATTGCATGCCATAGAAGCTTGGTCGGAATTGTGGTCAAACGTATTTATGTGATCTCCGTCGATTTTCACATCTTAAATAAATAATAAATTTGGCTTTGATGTTGTCCTTGGGCATGCGCAGGTTTAGCGGTGGCGCCCTCAGTGGTCGTGCCATTCAACATGGCGATGCGGTGTACGTGTTTCCGGGTGTGTGTGATGTCCTGGCCAGTCGACCCATGTGCGCCGGCAACGAGACCCTGGGAGTCATGGTATGGGGTTTGAATCCCCTCACGCTGAGAGAGACATATGAGGCACCATACCACCAGTACCATAATTTTGATCTTAGTATTATGATCTTCGTTGCCACCACCGCAAAAACCAGTAACATCATCATCATCATCATCATCACCACCATCATCATCATCATGCTTTCCGTGAGATTGAATCATAGTCACTTCGATCCCATGGCAACAGCGTGCAAATTAAAAAAAAAAAAACAATAATAAGTAACTAAAAATTTCAGCAAGATGACATTTCAGAAAGATCCCATAACTCAGACAGCTTCTATAAACATCGGTGGGGATGCATTTAGATGCGTGTAGATATCTCTGTAGTAATTTTGAAGCATGGAAAGCGGTTTACGAGCATTAGGCTATAGCTAAATACTGAATTTCTAGAGGTCGACCTCCATAAACAAATTAAATTTGGTCGTTGATTAGTCGTTTGATCGTAAAGTGTCAAGGCCTCCAAGCTATTGTTCAATTCTAATGATGCATGTTCTAATTAGGCCGCATTAAAATCAGTTAAGTACACCTTTTTGTCCCTACATTGTTCGTACCTTCACGCACCCCGGAGCATGTCATATGGACGCTAAAAATGGTAATGTTGTGAACAAACCTGTTAGAAGCAATACCTTCTATTAAAAATACTGGGTGATTCAAGGAGCGGCCAGGCCCTTTAAATCGACCGCAAAATTCGGTTTCTTAACCTATCGCGCTACGACTTTGTGCAACGTTGCCACAGATGGTGCATTTTTTTTTTTTTTGTAAAATTTGCAAAGAGCGATCATACCCGAGGAAAAGGTAAAGAAAGGAAAAGGCTTAGCTCCTATGGAAACGCGGCGAAGCCAAAGGTGTTCAAACAACAGGGCGCCGTTTCGCACGGGAGACAAGAGATGGCGCAAGCGGTCGCGACGCCAACTGCCGCCAACGAACGAGCATATGGCGCCGAGAGCCGGCGTCTTCAGCAGACGATCGTTTCGACTCAAAAGCGGCGCGAGCTTTTCTGATATCAGTTGCCAATGCATCATTTTGTCATCCTTACTAATAAAACATGTTGAATTGACAGAGAATCGATTAAAAAAATGTTTTTTTTCGGGATATTTTGACTGTTTTTTTCGGGGTACTGATGTCGTCTGCTTTGCAGTTCCTTGTTGTTACCGCGCCTGTTTTTGTTTCTGCGACTGTCGCCGCCTGCAGAATGCGCGCCGCGTTTGAGTCGAAACGATCATCTTCTAAAGACGCAGGCTCTCGGCGACGTATGCTCGATCGTTGGTGGCAGTTGGCGTTGCGACCGCTTGCGCCATCTCTTGTCTCCCGTGCGAAGCGGCGCCGTATTTTTTAAAGGGGCGGTGCAACGATATTCAATTGAAATGTTTTTCACTTTACACGGGCTTACTGGCACTAGTGGAGCTCAAGGATACTCGCACGCCACGCCACTGGCCAAGAAACTCCTTTGTTACGGTGTAATTTCAAGGACAAAAGCGATCATTTTTTCCTTTGCAAAATTTGATGACGTAACGTGGGGATTGAAGTACACCCAAGTGACGATATTTGAATGCGATTCATAGATTGGACCCGAGCATTGCGTGAGCGCTCGATTTAGGCTCGTGATAATTACTAGCTCAAGAAGCGTTCGGGTAGTGGCCCGTGTCCAATCGCTGCATCGACGACAGTAGCGGAGCCATAACAATGTCTGGCTGCGAGTTGAGGGGGTGAACGCTGCTCGTTTTTCTTTAATTTTTTTGTGGGACTGTATTGCGTGGGGTGAAAAACGAACGCGTGTTTCATAGGTCATTAAAGTCAGGGATCCGTTCTAAGTGGTATTTGCGCGAGGTACAAAAATTGTTGCATCGCCCCTTTAAAGATCGGTGGCTTCGCTGCATTTCCATAGGAGCCAAGCCTTTTTCTATCTTTTCTTTTTCCTCAGGTAAGTTTGCTCTTTGCAAATTAAAAAAAAAAAAAAATGCACCATCTGTGGACAACGCCGCACAAAATGGTAACGGGATAGGTTAAAAAACCGAATTTTGCGGTCGATTTAAAGGGCCTGGCTGTTCCTTGAATCACCCGGTAGAGTGCTTAAAAACTGGACGAAATAATTGGGTTCCCTCTAAACCCTGCTTTTGATGTGTATAGTACGTGGAATGGTGGCATGTCATCAAAAGATGTCTATGCTTGTGATTGGTTCGCTTGAAGCAACACGCGACAAACGCTCACAGTTGTAACACAAGATATAAAAATAGAGGCAAAGAAAAAAGGGAAATCGAAGACCGACAATTGTGTAGAGTGTATTAAACTTCCAGGTCTCAGCTCGATGGACTACTAAGACGTCACTATGACATTGGCTAAACAAGAATGGTGGGTTCATATTCTTATAGCCAAACTGGAAACTCACGTACGTGCTTTGTGAGCAACCGATCTGTAATAGACATATCGCAATTACCCAAGTATCAAGGAGCATGCAGGGATTGGCGTTTCATGCTCCACACGCGCACGCCTTCCCCGTATAAAAGATTCGAAGTAAATAACCAAAACAAAGCGTTGACGAACACGCGCGTTTAAGATGAAATTTGTTTTAGGCATTTGCGTTAAAAAAATTACTACTGCTGAGGCCAGGACGTGCGGTGCAATTGAACACCAATCCCTGCATTCTCCTTGATGCTTGGGTAAATTAGCAATAGATCTATTCTATACTGCACGTCTTCCCCCCCCCCCCCCCCCCAAAAAAAAAAAAAAAAAAAAAACTCTGTTATTGTCTTCAGCGTTTAGAGGGTGACATGTGCTATCTTCTTCACGTGTTTCTGTGACTGATAACAAAATTATGCCTTGCGCTCATTATATGCTGATGATTGACAACTGCCTTGGCAGTTGTCCTCTTCAAGGCTCGTTCACACTAGACCCGGTTTCTTACGTTACGTTACGAAAAGTCACCGGGGCTACCAATTCAAGGGGGTAGCCTGGCACGCTACATTTAAGACACGAATGTTTTGGTGGCTTTGACGTAAAGGAAGAAAACGGTGCTGAGTGAAAGGTTGAACCGAGCTCAACTCCTTACGTTACGTTACGACGAGCCTTGTGTCCTTGGTTGCCACGGTAACTCACCGTTCTGGCTCGTCGTCACCGAAACATTCGTTTCTCGAATGTTGCGTGCCAGGCTATCTCCTTGAATTGGTAGCCACGCTTAATACGAAGCACACATTTCTCGGTGACTTTTCGTAACGTAACGTAAGAAAACGGGTCTGTGTGAACCAGCCTTCAGGATGCAGCTCATGGTAATAAAGATTAAGACTCTCAGTATCCCCAACATGTTATTATCACCCTGCAGTCGATAAAATTGCGGCATTGGCCGACAAGAGAGTCGAAGAACGAATCACAATGCAAGAAGAGTTACCACAAGCCACTCCTTGCATATTTTAAGCAGACGGCGATTATAGTGACGACAGAAACCATAAGAATCCTGGTAATGACAATGACGGCGGTAGGTCTAGGACTATAATAACCGTTTGTAGATCATTGTCTGAGTAAGGGGATCCGCGACACCCACCAACTTATCTGGCGACGAACGCAGGCGGTGTCTTGGCCGTCGATCCTGCAGTCCTTCGGCGGCAGCGTGGACGTGCTGTCCAAAGACACCCAGACTCTGCAGTTGGTCGTGCTGGACGAGAATCTCTTTCCCATCGACGTGAGCAACACCACGAGCTACTTCGAGATCATTGTGCCTAGGAAGTCCGGCAGCGATAACGGAACGGTGAGTAAAAGTGCTCGGCTTGGTGGTTTGCTTGATTCCGCGATAACTTAGTCCGACTATGCAAACGAATGAGCTCGCCGAAAGAGACGAAGTTGTCTTTTGGCGACAGGAGCTGCTCCTAAGCAATGTTAATAGACCTAGCATTTGTTTTCTTTTTTCACAGCTGAGCTTTCGAGGGCTAGTTTCCGCAGTTTCATGCCCGTGGACAAATAAATCTCGACACAACCCTCTGGACAACTACCGCCATCTATCAGCGACGCCGGCAACCACACAAACGGCTTCCCGGTTGTCTGGTTGCCGCCGTCACTCATAGATGACGGCACATAGTACAGCTCCGCTGCTCTTGCTTCGTCCCCAGAGTGTGAAGGCTGAAAGGTTTTGGGATTAATTCGTGAATCATTTAAAGCTAACGAGCAAAGCACGTGACAGCTTTTCACGGAAGTAGTACTCTTCGACAATATCTTTTAACATGATGGTACCATGATGCTTCGATCGGCTCAGGGGGAGGCGTGGCTTCGCCGCTTGCCGCGTCGAAATTGAGTACAATGAGGCGTATTGGACACGTCTGCAAGAAGAGCTTGTTCACTGTTTATTTGGTTCGTGTGATTAGTAAACAAATACTATAGACGCGGAACATTTACGTTGGCACGGTATACTGCAGCAGGAATTTGGGGCCAAATTTGCGACACAGAAGTTAGAAAATAGTTTAGAACCACCTTGAGGTCTCTTCAACGCATAGTTAACGAAAGCGGCATGGGACTAATTTGAGTCGTATTTTTTTTTTGTTGTTTTCGTAGGGGGAAGGGGAATTTTACTTTTCAGGCCGTCCTACAAGCTGAAACATACGTGATGTCCACGAATGACATCAGCTATAGCGTGCTCCCCACCCCATCCATGGTGAGAACAGATAGCGTGTCACAAAGTCCTCATTGTGCCTTTCTAGGGTTTGCCGGAGCCCACAGAGTTCGCACCTCAAGTGAAATGGAACGAGGAGATGGTGTACCACCAGTTTGTGGTACCCAAGCCGGATTCGGCGGTCAACATTGAGATCACTCCGCACGACCCGAGTGCCCAGTTCCTCGTCTACATCCGCCACAGGGTCAAGCCCCAGCTGAACGCCTACGACCTCATGGTCAACCTCTCAACTATCCGAAGCACCAACGGTAAGACGGCGTGCTCGCGAACCTCCAAAGCAGGCCGCCGGTTTGTATACGCGGAGCGCAAGTCCGTCTGCTTTTTTGCAGTGGCTGTGGTGACGTCAGAACGCCGACCTCTAATTGGTTCTGATTGAAGGATAGTGGGTAGACCTCCAAGCAAGCTGCCATGAGGTCTAACCACTATCCTTCAATCGGAGCCAATCAGAGCGCGGTGTTGTGACGTCACCACAATCCCTGCAAAAGACGCAGACGAACTTGCAATCCGCATAGTCCAACGCGATGTTTACGGACAAGCCTACACGATGTCTGGGTAAACGCGCAGTTCCCACACATGGGTGGGCACTGCGCTTGAGCGTGAACCAGAGTCACGGAGAGTGGGTTTTCTGCGCATGCGCTCTGCCAATGGCAGCGCCACCGCAGCGGTGTGACGCCAGAGCCACTTATGGGTTTTCTCTTGTTGGATTTGGAGTGGTTTTGAACCTCTTTTTTGTTGGTTTTCTTTGGGTGGTGCAGCGCGCTCGCATCTACCACACTAAAGGCGCGAGCATGTAGAGCCTTTGGATTTCTCCGAATTCGCCATTAAGAAAGGAGTTCTTTTTTCTTTTTTTTTCTTTATGAGCCAAATTTATGTGAAGCGAAACTGAGATGAACAGGAATGTGTGCATGTCGGACTAGCTTTGAACTCTGTACCGCGGCTACCTTTACGTTGGTTTTTTCTCGCATAATATGACCGATTTCAGATTATTATCTGTTGAAGACGAGGAACCCCCAGATATACTCCTAATTTCAGCCAAAATCGGCTTAGTTTTGGCTTCTGGATTTGGCTAATATCGAAAAAAAACTTCTAAAGTAATTGCGTGTATGTTAAGGCCCGCTTCATATGGGACCGATTCTCCCAGCAACTTGACGTCGAAACACCAGCAACACCGCGTTCACACGCATGCAACAGCAACCGAATGGCTGTGAATTGTCATCATTATTATTCAATTTAATTTTTCTTGCACTATTTAAATACGCAGTTACGCGCTACAAATGTTTCTTTTTTTTTTCTTTAACTATAAATGGCATTGAGAATACTAACTCATCTATCTGAAACCGTTTATTTCCAAAAACGATCCCTTGCAATTCAGAAAAAAGTCGTTAGTTGTCATCATCACCGACACAGGGGTGTCACGTGAAACTTTCGCGTCACTGATTGGCTGCTGCCGCTTCAAACTTTTCCGAGTTGTCCGAGTTGCTCGTCCGCTTCAAGCCGGACGCGATCCAAGCAATTCGTGTCGCAATGCCAGGATCTAGGGAAATCTAGGGAACAACCAGCCCTGTCTGAACTTGGGCCTGGCCAATAGACCGTTTGCAAAATCCCCCCCAAAACTCCCTGCCAGCATTTGAGGAATCATGGGAACGGTGTTCCTTTAGTTTCCTAGTGATCGATAATTTCGACCAATTCGATTGTTGCACAGTTTTGTGTACAGTCCAAGGACCTGTCACATCACTTCTAAAATTTCTCGCCAATGTCAGCGTTTTCGATATTCTGCATGCGATCCACCCTTCAACCTGGCTGAGCTGCAGAGATCTCTTACAATATTAGCATTCGCGTACAGCTTCAAAGACGCTGATATTAAGTTGGAAATGCTAAAAAGGCTATAAACCACCCCACTGACTCCTGGCTAAATCCTGGTTTTGGTTGCTGCGAATGATCGGCTTTTTATGCAATTCCTGCTAAATCAACAATCACGAGGATGACAATATTGTAGGAGATTTCTGCAGCCCAACATGGTTGAAAGGTGGTTTTCATGCACAGTGTCAAAAACGCTAACACTGACGAGAAATTTAGAAGAAAAAAAACTGATCTGACAGGTCCTTGAACTCTAGACGTCAGGGGTGGCTCCAGATTACACACAAAACGGTGTTACGATCGAATGGGTCAAAATTACCGATCACGACGGAGCTGTAGGACCACCGTTCCCATGATTTCTCAAGTGCGGGCCGGGGCGCTTGGTGGAGTTAGCAAAAAGATCTATTGGCCTTTTCAGACCGTGCAATTCGTCCTAGCAACTTCATTTATAGACCTTTTCTGTGTACTCTTGTCCCCAGCCACCTAATAGGCATATCCGGTATGGGCGACGGAATAATAATCCAACGTTTCAACCTGCAAATAGGAAAAAAATAAAGGGGAGGCAAAACGAGAAAGTGTGACGGTTACGCTTATATCCTAAATGCCTTCTATTGGCGTAGCAAAGCCGAAACAATGTTTCCGCCCATACTGGAAGTGACGTCAATTCAAAATGGCGGCGCACTTGCAGAAAAGGTCTATAGGATCCAGGGAAAGCTATACTTCGTTTCAGCTTAAGTCTAGACGCCGCCGACGATACGAGCTGACGGGACCAACCAGACAGCGTAAAAAAACGCACAGTCATTGCGTTCCTCGTGTTTTGAGCGTGTCCTATCATTGCCTGAACCAATCATAAAAATGAAAGGCCTATGGACTTGTGCACTTGACACGCTGCTTGATTGGTACCATTACCTCGTTGCGTCGGCTGCGTCGCCCGCGAAAATGAAATTGCTGGGGTGTTGCCCTGTTAGCCTCAATGGGCGTCCGATATCTCTGCCAGCGTAGTGCGACCGCAAGCCTGTGGTCTTTAACGTGTACCATGCAATAGGGATGCACGACCTCATGCCGGTACGATGCTAATCCAGATCGAAACGAGCAGGGGAGAATTCAACTAGAGCTGTTGCTAAATTACTTAAGCTCCAACAAAAAATGCTGGAAACAAGCGATTACGATTAACAATTGATAGTAAATAATAAAAAAAAGTTGACAAAACCAAGTGCAAAGTGTCATTCGTTTGCGTGTGACTACACTTGCAGGATGCATCCTCTTGGTACTTGGGTAATTTAGCAAAAGGTATGTCGGCTAGGGTCTCTACCACGATACATTTTCTTAGTAGAGCTTTTAAAAAATCGAGTGTTCATAACTTTTCGGATGAGAAAAGCGGTACGAATCTAGTAACACTTCAGGTGACGTCATTTTGGTACCCCTGCGGTAAACGTACGAAGGTGACGGTGTTCTTTGCTGTACAGTTGTTTTGAATGTTGACTGACGGAATTTTAGAGTGTATTTATTGGCGTCACTCCTGAGGATAAAACCGGCCGGAGAATGCTTCGCGCACCGGCAATCTTGGAGGTCGTGCAAAACTCGGCGTAGTACCGCCCTTCCCCGCAACACCAGACGTGGAGGAAGAATCTTGATAATACTCTCCGCGGTTTCCGCAAAATAAATGTTGGGGAACGCACACAAAATACGTTTTTATAAGAAGCTTTACAGCGGAGCTGTTAAGGCCTACGCTCTATTTCACTTCATGATTCACCGCAGGAAAGGCTACAAGCACGAGCTCCTTGCTCTGGGGCACATGTTGGCGGCACAAGCTCTCGTGCATTAAGTGCAGCTGCCAACGCTATGAGCTCGCGCTTCTAGCCTTCGCTGCGGTAGAACATAAGGTGAGACGGAGTATAGTTTCCCGAGTTTCGTGTCCGTGGGAAAATAAATCTCGACGCAACCCTTTGGACAGCTACCGCCATCAATGAGTGACCGCGGCACATAGTCAGCTCCACTGCTCTTACATCTTCACCAAAGTGAAAACGCTAAACGTTTTTTTTTTTTTTTTAGTGGTTCAATATGGCTATTTTTGAACGTGGTTGTTAATGCTTCATGAAACATTAGATGAACCAAAATATTCTTTATAGAAGGTTTTTGGTGCTGCAACGTGGCTATTTCCGAACGTGGTTGTTGATGTTCAATGAAACATTAGAGGAACAAAATATATTTTTATAGGACGTTTTTAGTGTTTCTAATGCTATTTTCGAACGTGGTTGTTGATGTTTAAGCAAACATGAAATAAACAAATCTAAAGTAGCCATACGTTTTCATGCGCGTTTATGAGTACAAGCACTTCAACAGATTATCGTAAATATTGATATGACATGATGCGCTTGTGGTGCCTGGAGTTCCAAAACACCAGTTCATTTCTGCACGTTCCAAAACACGCAACCTGCACTCTAAGAAGTCTGGTGCTTCTACTTCCCAGAAAAGCTCTTGGGGGAGCCAATCGGCGAAATTTACGGAGGGACCTCGGCCAATGACGTGGATGAAAATGTGATACACGTTTAGGCTTACGAAAAGTTTCTGCAGTGTTAGACTGGGCTTGACGTTTCTCCATTCTCAATTATCACAGGGCAGACCATTTTCTTTTGTCTACGTTTATTCTCATCCTCCGCATCCGCCAAGATCCCCCCGTCCATTAAGGTTAGTGGCTTTCCCAACTACTTCGCAATAAAGTAGACGCCCCAGATGACCTAGAGTGGAGCCGTATCGCCATTGAAAAAGTGTCTTAAGTTTTTTGCCTGACTAGAACTACATGACTATGGCGTTACAGACAGGCTGAGATTAAACCTTTCTTCAGTCTATTTAGATAGCAACTGTATAAATTACTAAAATTAAAAGTTGCTAGCTGAATTTAAAAAAAAAGGTTCGCTTTCTGAGCACGACTCTGATACCACGCCCTCCAGACGTGTACCTTTTAAGTAAGATAATCTTAAATCTTTTCTTCCTAATTGCTAGAGCCACAATCGGGTAGAGATTGACCTTCCGACGATGCGTAGTTTCTCTGCCCTATTTAGGTCTGTCCGCGGACGAAGTTACGACATAATGATGTTTATGCTGGTACACTATCGTCGACTGAACCAATCGCGCACAAAAGAAAAAGCGCAGGGTTGCGGCGCACTCATTGTGCGTGATTGGTTAATTCGGCGATAAAGAACTTACGAAGGTAATGAGCGCAGTGACGAAGCACTTTTGGCGCTCCTTGATTGGCTCCATCGAATTGCGTAGCTGCAAAAATGATTATCGTAATTTATATTTTGGGTTAGTAGTTCAAATGTGCCAATTAATCTGTTGAGTCTGCTGTGGTCAGACATAGAGTGAAACAGAGTTATCCGGAGAGCCAGTCGTCTGCTTTTTGCGCAGAGTTTCTGATGACGTCAGAACGACACCGGGGTTCGACTGGCTTAGATTCAAAGGATAGTGGGTAGACCTCACTACTAGATGCCTTGAGGTCCACCCACGATTTCGTTTTTCAGTCAGCCAATAAGAGCTTGGCATTCTGACATCATCGCAAACCCTGTGCAAGAAGCAGACGGACTTGCCCTCTCCATAGATATGCGTTGAGAAAAGCGCGGATCGCTTTTCTGCGCTGACTTGGCATTAAACGGGCAAATCCCAAAAGTTGCATTTTTCAGTCGGTCTGATCGCGGCGTGTCCTTCGCACTTGAAGGCTGCAGCGAAGTTGTCGAGGTGCCTGAGTGGCACGTTGCATCGATCCTCGTCCGTCGCGTACCCGACGGCGCCCTCCGTCGTCCTGGCGCACAACTTGAAGCAGTAGTTTAGGAAGAACTGCTGTACCTGCGTGAACTCGTTGAAGATAACATTTTCCGCGGCGGACGACCGTGCAGTGGACGCTTTCAACACCGCCGGCAAGGACGCGAAGTCTGCGACGTTCTCTTCCAAAACGTCCGTGTTGTAGGCCTTCTCGAGGCAGCCTACCTTGCCTTCGTATGCCTTGTTCACGTCGGGGGACCACCAATCCTTGTGTTTTCCGTCGGCGTCACGGTTTTTGCCCCTAGTGTCGAAGCCGTGCATGATCTCGTGTCCCACCACCGCTCCCAGACCGGCGAAGTTGAACGGCCAGGACAGGTTCTCGTTGGCGAAGGGAGGTCGAATTATACCTATCGGGATGAACATGGTGTTCAACGGCCCCTCGTAGAACGCGTTGAGCTGCAGCGGTTCGAATGCGTAGTTCTCTGCGACCTCGCCTTCAGCCAGGGTTTCAAGCTTGAGCCCCGTCGCCACCCTCGCTGCATCCATGTTGGTCGTGAAGAAGTCGGGGTACAGCGCGAAGCGTGAATAGTAGTCGTCCAGCCCTTGCGTGTCCTTGATGAAACCGGGGTTGAGCAGAACCTGCTTCATGGCGGCTAGCTTGGCGAGCGCCGCCTTCCTCGTGGAAACGTCCATCCAGGGGACCCTGTCGAAAATCCATTCCAAAGCGGCACGGATGTCACTCACAATCGTTTCGGTGATGACGAGAGCTTCTGGTGCTGGCATCAATTTCAGAAGCGGATGGATGACCGTTAGCGGCATCACCTCCATCACACGACGGAAGCAGGCCTGACGCAAGTCTTTCTCCTCGTGGTAGAGGACCTCGACAGCTTTGTATGTTACCAAAGGTGCTAGTTGGCGGACCATGTGCCAGCCAAGAAACAGCGATAGCCTTTCGGCCCGCCCCTGGTCAATGAGAAGTTTACCAACTTGATTAAAGTAGCCTTCGTTACTAACCTTCAAGTAATCAGTATTGGTTACGTTAAATGAAGCCTGCGTTTGGCTGTTTACAGCATTTAGCCAGGTGGTCGCAGTCGTGCCTTTGATGATATGAGGAAGACCATCGTACGTAGGCGCTTGGATGCTTCCCTCGTCACTCCGAAGGAACAGTATGATATCATTGTTCGCCTCAATGATTGAGTAAAGTAACACTTCAGCGTTCAAGCTGGCCACATCGACGATTGATTCCAAGTGAGATAGCATGAATTCTCTTAGTTTTCCGGTCTCCCGTAAGGTGTTCATCAACTGTAACCACGTCTCCAGTTCAATGTTGGGGCTAAGACTGACTGTTGGCTTCGCCTCCGCATCGTGATCAGCGAAGACGTCGACGATGAAGAGGACGTGAACCTTCCATGTCAAAGAGAGTTCCACCAGACGGCCGACAATTGTGCTAACATCCAGTACTTCGGCTTTGGGAAACTTGGTGTAAGCGCCCAGGAAGTTTCTGAGGTGCGCCTTTTCTATCTTGGATTGAGCGAAGATGTTCTTGCAGCTTGTATAGAAGTAAGCAGCTTTATGCACTGCCAAAATCCCGGCCTTCATTTGGGCCAGCGCCTTTCCTCGATATAGGTGCGTTATATTCAGAGGCTCCCTCGAGTCTCTTATGACGCTGATACTTTTCTTTGTCAAGGCGTTTGCAGCAGGTGTTTTTGGTGTTCCACGAGACGTCCTTGACGCCCCTTTGTGTCCGAAGGAATCGGTGACTTCCTTCGATAGCGGCACAGCTTCAAGCGCTTCTATTGCATCTAATATGGTGTCAGCCTCGAGAGCGTCGATGAGACTGGAATAATCCTTCTGGTGGTTTCTCATCCAGCCGGAGCAAACAAACTTGTAGAAATTGTCGCAAGGCTCGATGGACCTGTCCAGAGAGTCCAACAGCAGCTGGGTGTAGTTGACACGAAGCCTTTCAATAGGGCTGCTTGGCTTGCTTGGCTCGAAATATGACAGCATGAAGATAGTGACGACGACCACAACCGCTCCAATAAAGATGCACGATGTGCAGTAAGCTATAAGGTGGGCACAATCTCCTGCCGTGAACTGTGTTGTTGTGTCCGATTCGACGGTTTGTTCACGTCCAGTTCTTTGAACTTGTCCGCTTTCGATCGACATGCGTTCTATCCTTTGATTACTTCAGCAATGGCGTTCGTGGACAACGAATGTTCCTCGTACCTTTTTCGCATCCGAGATTACAGGCGGCGGGAGTGCTTCTCACCTCAAGTGAAACCACAGTTCAATCGAATCCCGGCAGGTGTTGATTTCTGGGAGGTTGTTTTTTCAACCAAACCTCACGGGGGAGTGGAAACCAGCAGCTGGAATCAGTCGTCCAGGGCACGTCCGGAAACGTTCCAGAGTGAAAGAAAAACGAACGTGCCTTGCACTCCTGGCGCGAGCATAAATTTAGCGTCTAGCACGGTCCTGTTTGTACCATGACCTACTCTACACTTACGACCTCTCCATCTGAAAGCGCTCCAGCACGCAACTCCTGGAGGGCCGAGTTTCAGCGGCGCCTCGCGGCGGAGCCTGGAGGGTTGGTATTTTTTTCGTCTTTATTCGACTCCTTCAGTATCCTTTACATAGAGAAAAAAATATTACAGCGTAAACACGCTTGAAACCAGAATGCGCGATCACCTGGCACGCATCCAAGGATAGCAGAAGAGCCAGACGAGGTAGGGACCGAGTTTTTGTGCCGCCTAGTGAGAACGGCTCTCCAGGCGGCGCTAAAATTAAGCCCTTGGTAGCGCGCGTGTGTATGAAGGCACTCTAGCCCTTGGTGGGCAAAGCGACTCTTCGTATACATCCACCTTACAAGTATACAGACAAGATGAAGGAAGCGGCTATATCAACTGGAAAAACAATTTGGTTTCTTCACACTACCCGCGTGAGTGCCAATAGAGACACAAAGTGGGAAACGGAGGTGCGGAAGAGAGTGCGTGAGGAGGAGGCCCTTCAGTGGGCAAAGGCGGCCAAGAGCAAGTCAACGCTACGGGTGTACAACCTCAGCAAAAGTGCAATATCAGCGGAGGCTCAGTTATACGATAACAGCCTGGGCAGCCGCTTGCTTTTTGAGGCACGTGCAGGAGGGCTGAGAACGCTAGTGTACCAACAGAAATATAATGGGATGGTGGAAACAACAACATTCCGGGCTTGTGGAGAAGCGGATGAAACCATCGAACACATCGTCCTCTCATGCACAAGCCTGCAACCAAGGCATCCGGTGCAGTGGTATTACGCTCCTGAAAACGCACAGACACCTGGCCAGGCCCTTCCACAATCCCAATTGCTGGCGGAAGCACTCGGCTTCCAATCACCTACGACGGGGTCAGTGCTGAACGCGTTTCTAGATAGAGATGCTGTTTCTATCCCTCGAAGGGAGGTTGAAACGCGCGCCGCAGCGTCCACGAAGCCGTTTGGACGGAGCTGGAAAGTAACCGAAAGAACGAAAGGGAGTTTGGAGGACTGGTGGCGAAGGAACGCGAAGGACAAGGAGAAAGTGAAAGAAATAAGTGTTTTTTTCGTTTAATATTTTTTTTTTTGCTAGGTACGAACGTGGTTTGGGACCGCCCGATACAAAGGGATCAGCTGCAAGATCATCATCATCATCATCATCATGGCCTAGTTTTAGCGCCGATCCTCCAAGCTTGGTGCTAAGACTAGGCGAAAGGGCCAGCGTCCTCTAAGAAAGAAGTCTCTGGAGCTGCAATAGGTTCCTAGTTACACGGGAAGTGTGGAAGGCAGTAATGGTTTTGGGCTTGACTTCGCCAATGCTGTAGTGTGCGCCCCTGGTGAATTTCGTGAAGCTCTGGAGCGACGACAACGAGCAGTAGCACGACAAGCTATGGGCTGTCACGGCAATGTCGCTAACAAAGCCGCCCAGGGAGACCTAGGATGGTCTAGCTTCAAAGCCAGAGTAGCCACCAGCAAGATAAGCTATGATGCACGACTCCGCCACATGGACCGAAAGCGATGGGCAAAAAAACTTTTTGTACGCATTCACATGACTGGGACACAAACAAGGTGGCAGAAGCGCCTCTACCAACTAAAAAAAATATGGCTTGTTTGCAGAACCCTTAGAGGCAGTGACGGGTGAGGGTTTGGAGGCCAAAGTGGGAATCAAAGCACAAGAGGGAGGCTTTCCATGGTTTGAAGCCGCTCAAGCGACGCCAACACTGCTGGTGTACAGCAAAAACAAGCAACAGCCGCCTTCTGCTCGAGGCGCGAGCGGGCGCTCTACATTGGCGACGTGAGCGATCGAAAGCGTCGCTGTGGTGGGCCCACCACAATTGGCCGAATGCTGACTATGACGTCAGCAAAGGATGTCTCATCAACTGAAATAAGAGGAATGTAAGAACTTCAATTTTGACTTTGTTGGCAGTGTTGCTTTGAGAGCGCTATGATTTCAGGCGTCCACCATGTCCATTACAAGCAGCATCGAATTTGTTGTTCACAACGTAATGACGTCACGAAACGTAACCGAACGAGGGCGCCACCGAAACATCTCGCCGGTAATAGGGAGTATTCACTGGCGGCCATAACCGTGTGCGCTGCTGCTGAGCGCGTGCTGACGGCGAGATTCCGCAGTCCTTTTGGAGCGTGCATTTAGCACCATCAAGGTTTCCGGTCTTAGCAGGCTATTAATGTGAGCTCGTTCTGAGCATGCGCTCTAAACAGCACCCACAAATATGGCGTCCAGTGAATACTTCCTATGAAGGTGTATCCACACGACGGACCGGGCCGCGGACCGATTGATGACGTGATGCGCGGCCCGCGGGCCGCCCGGCTGCAATGAGCATCCACACGGCGGACCAAAAGAGCAGACGACAGAGCGAACGGGCCGGTCTAACCCTCGACCTCACAGCTCCGCCAAACGCATGTAGCGAGCTGCTTTGAGGCTATTTGTAAGGAGCCAAGATGGAGGTTGAACGAAAGAGACGTTTGGCCGCGGTGGCCCTGGCGTTGACTATTGAGAACGAGGAGGACTTTAGTGAAGCGAAAAAGGCATGGGAACATCTTTAGATGATTATTTGAGTAGTCGTCGCGACTATTGTTCCACAGAGCGGGGAATTGCTCCACGAGCGCGATGAAGTAAAACGTTGCATTGTCGCACAACAAAAGGTTCGTCTTCTTCGTCTTCAACAGTTGGCGCCAAAAGAAAACGACTTTGGATTTGGATTCCAATCCAAACAACAAAAGTCAGCTTGTTGCCAGACTTAGCGCTTCAATTATACTAAAACGCCGCGGTCCGCCGCCAAGGTCCGGGCGAGAAAAGTCTCTTGACATTTCTCAGAAGCGCGGGCCGCGGACCACCGGCGGACCTCGAAAACCGGTGACGTAAGGTCACGCGATGCGCGGCCCGCGGACCAAAACAGCAATTTGGTCCGTCGTGTGGATTGTGGGATTCTAGTTTACCCCAAAGTCCTCAGTGAGGCAAATACCCACTCCGTAACTCGTCGGATGCAATAAAGTAGGTTTCGACTTACCTTGCTGATCGCTGTGAGGCAACACCCACTCCGTAGTTCGCTGCTATGACGGCTACGGCCGGGTCCGTCCGTTGACTGCCGTTAGGCTCCGGTGGACGGGAGACCACACCAAACACAGGGATACCGTAGAAACGTGTTTACTGGGCTTACGCCACACGCTTTGCGCCCGTAGGCGGAATAAAAGAGAAATGAGGTTGGCGCTGCCTTAATTGACAGGATCACCAGGAGAAAGGTCCGCGCTGCCGGAACTGGCAGGATCACGGAAAAGGGGGAGCAGTAAAATAACGATGAATGCTCCGTCGAGCGTAGCCCCCCTAACCAAGAGCCCCGGCCACAGGTGGGTGGCCGGCTTATGTAGCCTGCGGGAAATAGACGCGCCCGGGGAGGCCG